AAAAGAAGATATTGTTCTTCAGATCACCTGGATTCAACTTATAAGGCTTTATAGGTCATCACCAGCACTTGTGCTTGAAAACAACTGAGCAGCCAGTGCAGCTCGAGAGCAGTGTTCCATATGTAGTCAATCCCAATAACATAACTTGAAGTTTCTGACAGCTTTTCAAAGACAGCCCTTCCAAATAAAACACATCACTACACAGTGGGCCCTTCATATTTGCTGCCATTATTGATGCAGAAACCCCACAAAGGTTGATTTTTAAAATGTACGAGAACACCTCTCTAGGAATCTCTAGGTATTCTAGTGCAGCTTTTGACAGGAGTTGACCATAGACTCATACTGGAAGATTTGACAGAAAGCATGCTAACTATAATAATAAGATCACATTCCAACTGTATAGTGACCAAAACAGATACAGGTACACTTCAAAAGGAGCAGTATTATCTTTTGTCATGATAGTGTTTAAAGATATTAACTGCAAGTAACTCCTTATTTTAATTAGCTCCATCAAAGCTCTGCTTTTAAACATGTTTGCATTGCATGAACAGGGCTAGATGTCTCTGAATGAATTCAGTTTCTTTTCTTTCTATGAAAAATGACACAAGGGAAAAAGAATTCTGAGCTGCATTTGAGGATAATTGCAGATTGAAGTTTCCTTTAGCAAAGATTGAGGCTCATAACATTTATGAAGAGCATAAAGATCCCAGCTCAGCTTGCTGATGGCCTGTAGTCAAGGGTAACCATGCCAAGAACACAATATTCCACAGGCATGGAGCCTGAGATAGTGCTGCACTTGGCAGGGAATGAGTCTCAATAAATCCCTTGAATCCTCTCTCATAAGGAAAAATGGTAGAATCTGTTTTCATGTGAACAAACCCCCAACCCAAGTCCCTGTTGGTCAATGCTTTCATCACTGAGAGCCTTTCTCCAGTTTTTCCCCTGAAAGCTTCAAATGAGTGGTATGAATGTGATTAGCTATAGTCCTTTTTGGCAACTATGGAATGGTTTGGGGGTAATGATTACAATTTTTGGACAGAAACAAAATGCTACCTAATTGTTCTTCCAGTGCAAAAATATCCACAAATTCAGTAATTGATGGCTTGAAAATATTTGAAATATACACATGTGTCTGTGTCTATGCTTTCAGGTTACTTGTTGACTTGTGGTGACCCCATGTATTTTCATAGGGTTTTCTTAGTAAAAGAATACTCAAAAGTGATTTTGTCTGTCCCTTACTCTCAAATATAGCACACAGGCACCGGGTATTTGTTGGTGGTTGCCATCAAGTAGTAACCAGAGCTGACCCTACTTATTTTCCAAGATCAGAGAGTATCTAGTAGCTTTAGGACAGTGGTTCCTAAACTTTGGTACTCTGGATGCTTTGGACTTTATCTTCCAGATTTCTTGACTTGGCCAAGTAGTTTGGGGCTTCTAGGAGCTGAGTCCAAAACACTTGAAAGACGGAGTTTGGAAATACCAATTTAGAGTACTTAGGCAAAAAAAGAAAAAAAAGAATAAAAAAAATACTCATAAGCAATAATTAAAAATGAGATTTTTAAAAATGAGATTTTTAACTTTGGACCTTTTTATGAATGGCACATGACTTTGTAATAGATGGAGTTGAGTCAGAAGTATGGGGAGATTGCAAAACTGACAGGCTACTTTATTATTTATAAGCAACACAGTACTGTTGCTGTGAATAGTATTTGGATGATTGACTGAAAGGAGGAAAAGAGGAAACTGGTATTTAACAGTAATGATTGCTTAAGTTAGTTTCAAAGCTGGCAGAAGAACAATGATTAAAGCTTATTTTCAATATCCAAATATTTGTTCCCTTTTCAGAAGTTCTGCTTTCATTTCCTCTTTTGCCTCTTGAACAGCTGTGATCTGAATTCTACTATGCATTGCATTTTTGATACAATGATATGAACTCTCTGAATGGGTTCCACACCCACAGGATGGGACAAAAACTGTGGTAATTTCATTTTGAGAGATTACAAACTCTGATGAAGGTTCGATGTGTTTGGTTTCCCCCCACAGAAGCATAAAGTTCCAACTTTAATTTGTGGAAGGATTTTCTCTCATATCCATTGCTTATTACAGTTTTCTACTTAATAGTTCCATGTCTTATTCTCACTCCAGAACCCCTGTTTCTGCATGAGCAGGGAACATATGAAAAATTACAATACAGAACTCATGTAACAGGTGTGGAAAACCTACACACATCTTGAATTTAGAAGTAATTACAAAGATCAGGGCTGAGATCCCTGAATTAGGATAATTATCATAAAATTTCACACTGACCAAACACCCCTCCCCCACAACCTCCTCAAAACTCAGTTTTAGCTGCTGTGCCCAGCCCATGCCAATTTACTAGCCAATGGAGTGCAGAGGAGCACCAAGAAAGCAGCCAGCTATGTTCCTATAGCTCAGTGGTTCCAAAGCTTTGTTTCAGACTTCAGCTCTCAGAATTTCTGACAATTGGCCAAGCTGCCTGAGGCTTCTGGAAGTTGGTGTCCCAAACACGCGAAAGACCAAAGGTTGGGAACCACATAGCTGGATGCATAGCAACAAAGCATTCTCTAGTACTGCCCAGGACTCCACTGGATGTCTTGCAGGATGGCATCAGTGTTGTGTGTCTAACTATAGAATGCTTTATGTTTTTTGTAGATCCAGCAGCTCAGTGTTGTATGATGGGGACATTTCACTATTATGCAAAATCATCAAGAAATTCCAGTTTCTGCAATGTCTTATGCAGGCATAAATTGTGTAGTGGAGTGCACCTCTGGAGAACATGGTTTCAGATCCCTCCTAATGATTGTAATTGCTGTTTTAATGTTTTACTGTAATATGTATTATGATGTTTTATTGATTGTATGTGATATTATGGTTGGAAACCGGTCTGAGTCCCTCAAGAGAGGTGAGAAGGTCGGTATACAAAACTTTTAAATAAAATAAATAAATAAATAAATAAATAAATAAATAAATGTGTGATCTTGGGCACCTCACACATTTTCAGTCTCAGATAATGTTGCCTTAGGGTCCCCATCAGAGGTGCAGTCTTACTCTTCCTAGTGGGCAAAAGCAACCTGCCTCACCTTCTTCTAGCTTGTGTTCTCACAAAAAAAAAACCTTTGCCATTTTGAACGCACTGGGCTGTTGGTTGGTCATCTCTGAAATATTTGAAGGTGTAACACAATGACATCTTACAATCCCCCCAACCTCCCCCCCCCCACATGAAATATGAGAATCCCACACACACAAAGCTACATTTACCCTGTAATTTTATGTCAATTATATTAAAAGCTAGATTAAATTGTGGTACTTCATGAGAATTCTTGTGTTTTTTAAATTTACTTCTGAAAGACAATGAAAGAACACTCTTTGTGCATAGCTAAAGATAATGTCATTTGGCTGTACATATTATAGATGGGGGAAATCTGTCATTTCATTTGTACTTTAAATTTTAATAAACCAAAAAAGTAGGATTTTTTTCTCCTATAGAGGACGATCCAGAGAAACGTCCCCGACTCTTTGCCATTTGAAAGTTGTATAGTCTAGAAAATATTTACAACTTGATTTTTGTGCTTGCCTATTATATATGCCAGATTCTCATATTTCACAAGTGGCATGAGTCTGTCATGAACAATAAGAGCAACTCTAACAGCATGCCATAGCAAACTGGGAATTGAAAAGGATAGCTTTTTCAGGGGCTAGTTTGAACAATGAACATAGATAGAAAAATATATTGGATTGCTGGCAAGATGTACACAGCAGGGTAGGCTGTGGAAAGTGGCTTGCAATTCATTTTATGTATTTGATTCTGTATGGACAAAATGTTGCTAGACTACAACTCTCATCATCACTCAATAATTATATACTAACAGGGTCTGATAAGAGTTACAACCCAATGACACATGGAACTCTAGTTATATGTATTCCTTTGTCACTAAATAGTAAACACACAAAACAATACACTGCACATGAAAGAATAGTCTAAAACATTGTGCAAAATTATATTGTCAGAAATTCAATCTCTTCTGACAAGCCAAACAATTTCTGAAACAATGTTACATTCTGGACATCTCTCGACCTAAAAGATCAGTCGATGAGGTCTAGTTACCTAGACTTTTAAAAAAGTTTCAAGTTATTTCCTTCTCAAAATAGGAAGAAATTTGTGAATTTTGGTGAACTCAGGTCAAAGATTAAAATTTCACTTCTAGCTATTGGGTCTGATGTGAGAGCTATACCAGTATTGGGTTGTTGTAAGTGTTTTGAGCTGTATGGCCATGTTCCAGAAGCATTATCTCCTGAAGTTTCACCTGCATCTATGGCAGGCATCCTCAGAGGCTGGGAGACCTCACAACCTCTGAGGATGCCTGCCATAGATGCAGGTGAAATGTCGAGAGAATACTTCTGGAACATGGCCATACAGCCCAAAATACTTACAACAACCCAGTGACTCCAGAAATGAAAGCCTTCGACAATACATATAACAGTATTTTTGCCTTCCAATTTTGCTGAAACAATGAGTTGTTCCAGCATCTCTACTGTGGAAACAATGCAGTTTGACATCACATTAACTGCCATGGTTGAATGCTATGATTAATGGGAATTGCTGGTACCTCACCAAACTACAACTCCCAGGATTCCATAGCCTTGAGCCTTGGCAATCAAAGTGAAGTCAGACTGCATTAATACTCTTGACCAATAAAGGTGAAAGGTTGTTCTGCTATGAGGGTTCATTCAGTGGCATCTTGGTGGAACAAATCTTGGATAAGTTATATATTATAATCTGTAACTCTCCAAACTGCATAGTCAGCATGGCCAGTCACCAAGGAATTCTTGGAGTTATGTTTCCAAAACATTATTTTCCACATTATGGGAAAGAGCAGTGTTACTACAGGTCTTTCTGGGATAATCCAAGTATTACAGCACCATGATAAAACTGTCTACATGATTAAATATTTTTAATATTTACCAAGCACACTTACATGTTTAAAATAAAGGCCAAGTTTTATTACAAATGAATGGTTTATTTGCTGGTCTTGATGAGGGAGAGAAACTGTGACCACATTACAAAGGGGGTGTATTTTCAGACTCAGGAAAAACAAAAGATATTAAAGTTAGAACCATATGTGTAAACAAAAGCTAATTGACAGCACTGATCAAACCTTTGCTTATACCATGCAAATTTCCTAATATCAACAATGAGGCTTTAAAAAAAGTTAAAACAGAGAAGTGCACAGAAGGTTTTCTAAGCACAGGCAGGAAGAAAATAAAAAACACATGTTCTTTCTGACATATACAAATTGTAGAGTTCAGAAACTGCCAGTAAGGACTTTTAAGATCATAGGCCACAATAGGTCAGTTACATTGTTGTATTGCAGTTTCCAGAATCTTCCAACAGCATTGCTGGCAGTCATGGAACATTGTGTGAGCCATAATCTGGCAAAAGTAACTTTTCCTGATCCTGGGCCACAATTCAATATGTGTGATAATTCCCTGATGCTCAGGCAGCTTCTGGCAGCTATTACCCATATGATGTTGTGAAGACCCTTTGAAATTTAGTGTTTCTAAATTTAGGGTTATCTATAATGCTGATCGTGGAGCTCTTTGAATTGCAACTTAAGAAACTGCAGTTTAATTGAAGGCACGAGTTAAACTCTTTAAATACACAAATTTTCTTCAACATGTGTCTGTACAAGCATGTCCAATGCGAGGGAAAAACAATAAAAATTGGCATTGCTATTCAGTTTGTTGCCAATTCTACTCCCCTGAACCACAACAGGAAAAGATAATGGTGATGGGTTACAAACGTCAAGCAAGAAATTGTGAAAGGTCTGTAAAGCTGGGTGGTTAGTCTGAAGTATAGCTGTGGAACCTCTTGACCCTCGGGTGTTATGGGACTACAACTTCCACAATCTCTCTCCACTGACCATGCTGGCTGGAGCTGATGGGAGCTGAAGTCCCAAACATCTGGAGGGCCAAATGATCCTTTCTGAAATGACATGTCTTCATTATGTGATACAAAAATATATAGTCTTCAGCACCAAGGTACAAGTACAGGCTCATTATATGGAAGTGAATCCCAGGTGGGCATTTTAGCTCTCCTCAAAAAAATATTTCACAGCAAATTTCTCTGAAATAGGAAGCTCCTATAGTGTTAGCACCACTGAAAATGGACCTATGAGCCTGCTGGCTCTCAAGGATGATTTAGGGTTCCTCCAAAATTGGTTTTCAAAGTGGGAGTGTGCAAAAGGGCAGGTTCCATCTGAATGACTGCACTTTCTTGATTGTGTACAAAACATAGCTTGAGAGTGGGAACCTATTTTTGAACTACAGCTGCCACAATCACCTTGTCAGCCTAACACACAGGGATTCTTGGGAGCAACATTGAGCAGAAAAGGGAAAACCAAATAGGATGCTCACTTAATTCTGTTTCTGCAACCAAAGTCTCAAATTTATCATAAGACACTGTGGCAAAAAACTTAGAAAATCATCACGTATAGGGACATCCCAGAGACATAATGTGTGGGAAGTCCAAGGCACAATGGTCAGGAAGACAGATCTGCCAGAACAGATGAGAAAAACCTAACCCAGAAAACATGGAGATCCCCTGCCTGCCAGAGGAGATGGCGTTGGGCTAGAAGGACCTACCATACCTCAGTGTTCAATTCCTGACAGCACAAAAAAAAATCCTTAAAATCTTTTAAGCATTATCCGGTGAGATATAGATTTAAATGTGATGTTTGGTGGTGGTCATTGTTCTCGTCCATCTGGACATGTGACCTATTTGAGGCTCCCCAAATTATCAACTAAAGTTGCGAACATTAAGTTTATTAAACAAGAGTTTAGATATATATGTATGTGAATGGCTTTTATTTTCTCTCCTTCATTCTCATTTGGGAAAAAGATAGCCTTTGTGTAACACATTATGACAACAGTTTTTGGTTTTGTTTTAAAACGGAGTCCTTCCCGCCAGCAACCCAGTAGCCAAAGCTAGCTGAATCCTTGGTTGTGTTTTCAAAGCAGAATTGTGGCCATTTCACTGCTGCTGCTGTTGCTGCTGTCGCCTTTCTTGTTGCTCCTTCATTCTTTTTAACAATTGTGAATATGTAGGAGCTGGAAGAAGAAGAGGAAACAGAGACAATGAATACAAGCATGTTAATCATCCTCACCAACTGCAGTGCCTCAAAAAGATACACTGAGGTAATTCTCATTAAGACTCAGTAATCATTTGTCCTGTCTAAGCTGTTCCATTGTCAACCTGAGTTCTCAACTAAAAATAAATTGCTTGAAGCGAGATTCAGAATAGGCCTACAGTGTTGGTTTTGAACATAGGCTATAATTGTACATCAGTTCACACATGGTCAATTCCACTGGATTTACAGAGCTCCATTAAATGAAGTGTAGAGGATGTCATGAGCACAGATTGAAGTCTACAGAACTGTGATGTGGGCACAGTTTGTAGAAGCCATACCTGACATCAAGGAATATTAAGTGTTGGCATTTTGGCAGTGAGGGTAACAAGACAACCTGTTTCCATAGACATATGAACTGAAACCTCCCACCAGATACAGTACATTACCCTACTCATCCATCTCACCCATGGTTTAAAATCCTATCCATTGTACTTGGCCCCACCCACTCAGCTCAATGTTTTTTTTGTTATTCATGTTATACTCTGTGTTTATTTTGTATTATTTTCTTTTGATATATTTTATTGTATTTTATTTGATGTATTATTGTATGATTGTATGTTGTATTCTTTTTGCCTTGTAATTGTTGGACTTGGCCTCATGTTAGCTGCCCCGAGTCTCCTTGGGGTGATGGTGGTGGGGTATAAATAATGTTTTAATATTATTTATTATATGAGGCCATAAGGGAGAACATGCTGTGGCACAGCTGGCTGGAAATCAGCTGCATTAAGATCGCTCCTGACCAAAAGGTCATGATTCAAAGCCAGCCTGGGTCGGAGTGAGTGTCTGACCAATTTGTGTAGCTTGCTGTTGACCTTTGCAGCCCAAAAGACAGTTGCATCTGTCAAGTAGGAAATTGAACTAATTTACGAGGCCATAAAAATCTCCAGGAAGCATGCAAAGAATGAGGAAGTACTTCATCAGTGTCACAAATGGTCAGTGAAGGAACAGCTCCCCTGGTGGCCAAAATACCCTCAAGAAAAAGCTTGAATGTTAAATTGCCTCTGTGTCTGTCTATACATGTTGTGTGTCTATGACACTGAATGTTTGCCATGTATACGTACATTGTAATCTGCCCTGAGTCTCCTGCGAGTGAGAAGGGCAGAATATAAATACTATAAATAAATAAATAAATAAATAAATAAATAAATAGTTCCCTATCAGTGCAGAATAAGCCCTATAAGATGGTTTCAACAAAACATATCAACTTCACATTATTTGTGGAGGAATCACATTATAAAATATTTCTCATTTAAAAAACAATGTTTGCACTGACTGAGCTGGACATTTTAAAAGTGATTTAGCTTATTGTTTTTCAGTGGTTTAATTGATGTTTTATTTTGTTTGATATAATGGAACTCCAAACCGAAAAGAGAAGTTTTAAAATGCATTTAAATGTTTGAAAGTGCCACCTACCACTTAAAGTCCAAAGTGCCATGAGTCATCCTGACACCTCAGAATTCTGCCACATGTAAGCTAGGGCTTCTTCTTAAGGCTTGACATAAATTTGCCCAGGGGTGGGAACTGAGCACCCCACTATTGTTACTCAAGTATACAACCAACTCTATTCAACAGAGCCAAAGGTAAGGAGTGCAAAGAGTTGTCATTCAACAACACTTAGAAAGCTTTATGAGCGCCACCCCTAATGTAAAAAAAATATATATATGAAAAGATCGTGAAAGTACACAATTAGTATAGCTGTTTGGAATCTATAGTTGGTGCAGAATGTGAAAGCCACACTGCCATCTGGTATTGCTTTAGTACAAAACTGCATTGGCTGTCATTTTGCTTCCAATTTCAATTCAAGGTGTTAGCATTGGCACAGAAATTGGCAGAATAACTGACAGCCTATTTCCTCCTCTATCAGCCTGTACAAATTCTAAGATACTTAAAAGAAGTCCTGTTGCACGGCTCTTAGGGCAAGGTTGGTGGGTACATAAGGCAGTGTTTTCTTGTAGTACCATCGTGGTTGTGGGAATTGCCTCCTAAAGGAAATCAGATTGCCTTTTGTGCTCTTTAAGCTTCCAGCGAAAACAAAAGTGCACAATTTCTTATGGCTTTTGGACCCTAAAAAAAGGTAAGATTTTGCTACTTGTGTCTTTTACAACATGCTTTTAAAATATTGTTTTGGTTTGTTGTGAAATAATGTTTTTATCTACTGTGCATTGCTTCAGAGGCCTTGACAGGCTGAAGTGATCAGCAAAAACTTAAACAGATAAATAAAGTCACTTCACAATGATCTACCACAGCAATATCATGTGTTTATTATTTTGATTATTAAAATGTACTGAAAATCTGATTTTGCTTTCTTCTGATGCTGTTCAACTAATGACGGGTACTGAAGGGCATGGAAAACTACAAATAAAAGTGGATGAATTATCCACAACGAAGCAGATGGGGAAGTAAACGAATGAAATGCTAAGCTGAAAACAATGGCTACCTCCATAAATTATGAAAAATAAATATTTTTAAATCTGGACAGTGTGTTCCATTTGCATCAACAGACTTGACGCACTGAAACCATTTGAATGTTGGCTCAGACAGTCATGCCAAGGCAATGGAATTATGAGCAAGAACCCAAAATCTGCTTTCTTCATCTGACTTGAGAAGTGTTTGCCAAGTTTGATGTGACAACAAAGTACAAATTAACCATATCCTGGCTTTTTTTTAAAAAAATGCAGGGGTCAATTGCATAGTCTTTGCAAATTTCCCTCATTGCCACGTTGTGCCTCATTTTATTTCTAATTATTCCAGAGGAATAGGAGAGGAATTTTGAATATTCAGTGGTCCACTTATGGTCATAGGTCATTATTTATTTACTATATTTATACCCCACCCTTCTCACCCTGGAGGGGACTCAGAGCTTTCATTTGCAGCATTTGCCATCACAAATACATCACTCTTTGGGGTCTTTACATATATACAATCTATATAGAAAAACCATACAACAGATTTGCGGAATGTGCCTTGTGTCTAGATGTTGTGAGCTTTCACTTTGCATTAATCATAGACAGCACAGCCAGTAGCTGCAATTCAACAACATTCCTAGCTGCATCAGTACTGTTGCCACTGTAATAGCATCAAATGGTCAATCGTTTTCAGCCTTGCATGTCTTGTGTACCAAGAATCACACTCTCAAAGAACCCAGGCAGGTCATCCCCAACTTCCTGCTCAGTCCACAAGCCACCACTTCCCACCTGGTAATGAAACCCAGAAGACCAGAAGAAAGGGAATATGTTACCCTGGTTTAAAGAGGGGATGAGAGGTGGAATAAACAACCCTAGTTATCACTGCACTTGGAAAGCTGAGAAGCGTTCAGAAGGAAAGAGTCCTTAGTTTAAAAGAACAAGTGAGCAAGAAGGGTGCTACACAGCAGGGAAATTCTTTGCTTCAAATGGCTGGGAGGTTTAATAGCTTTTAAACCGGATTCCAATGCTTTCATTCACGGCATAATTTTGGCTATTTTATGTTTTAAAGTGTTTGTACCCTGCCATATATTCAAGAATTTCAGAAAGGTGCACAACGAAATTTGTTTCAAACAGGATAAAACAATAACCTTACCTGAGATTATGCACCATGGCTAAAAAATATGGTATTGGAGTTCCATAACTACAAGGGGTAATGCTCTCCCACAACTACCTTTGCAGGCTGACACCACCCCGCCTGAAGCATTTCTGAGGCATTGGAGATCAGAGCAGAGGGAAATGACATCTTAGAGTTCTTCAGTCTCAGAGTGTTTTGAGGACAGGCAGCTGGACAGGCCACTCTGGGCCCTGCCACAGTCACTTTTCCCATCTCCAGTGGAGAGCTTTGGACATTAAATTTGGGCTCTTGGGTTTCTGCTAGAGTTTGATTGCAGGACCCTCGTGGATACCAAAATCCATGGATGCTCAAGTTTCCTGCCTGAACCTTATGGCCTCTTCCAATTCTATGCTTCTATGATTCTAAGTCCAATTATGTACAATGAAATAATAAAATTTGTCCTTATATAAAATAGTCCAGTCAAGCTTTTTGATTAAAAAAATACATTCGAGCTGTAGATGGGAGAATCTAGGCCAAGATGTGTAATATATAGAATTCACTTACATAGACGATTTCCATTTGCTAGACTCTGTCAAAAAGAAAAAGCGAAAGAATGTGAAATACAGTTGTTTGCAGGAGCACATGTGTGCATTTTAGATTATCTCCCCCATCATGTAAGATAAGTCTTCACCACCACCCCACCCCCAGAGGCTTTCCTTTAATCCCTCAACCCCTCCTGCAGCACATATCCCTTTATGTTGCGTGATATTATACTTACAAAGGAAAATGCAGGAGCATGCCTGAAGATTTCCAGTGCAGGGTCAGCAGGCTCATCACCCCTTTCATTAGCTTTAGAAGCTAGAGAGAGAGAGAATACAAACAATACTGAGACATCCTTGCAAATATTTTTCTCCTTCCACTGATTAGCAGACCAATTTGCATTGACTGGTTTTTTAAAAATTATACTTTCAGTGTTTTTTCTCCTGGAATTTTGTGGAGTTGTGAACTTCCTAAAAATGGGAAATAGAGCACAATTTGAAAATGGAAGACTATGCAGATTAAATCAATCCTTATAGGTGTAGAGAAATCTGTAATGTTTCACATACTACTCCAAATACATATACAGGCATATCTCAGTTGACAAAGCCTCTGACTGCAAAGACCTTTTTTGCCAAGGTTATTGTCATCTACTTACCCTCTTGTCTATCTAGAAAATTTTTAGCAGCATCAGCTGATGAAAGAGGGCTGGAAAAACATAGGTTTGAATATCTGGTCACCCTCATGAAAATCATAAGAAAAACTAATCCCTGGTCCTATTATCAGCCTTGTCTCTCATCAAAACTGTTGCAAAATAAATATACCTCCCAGCCATTTGAAGCAAAGGAGCATTTGGCCCTCAAAATATTTGACACCACTTGACTAATTGCTACAACTCAAGTGATATGTCACCTGTTGACTGGTGGTGACTCTATGAATTTAATACGGTTTTGTTAGCCAAGGAATACCCAGAAATGGTGTTGCTAGTTCCGAAATATGGCCTACAGCACCAGGGATTCATTGATAGCCTCCCATCCAGCTACACCCAGGGCTGGCCCTGCTTAGCTTCCAAGAGCAGATGGGACCTGGTGCCTAGAATGGCAGAATTCACATGGTCTGCTCTTGTCCCAGGAAGAAGGTGGAACATAAATTCAATCAATTGATAAGAAAGAGTTTGTGGGGTATATGTTAACACTGGGGGAAAAACAGACCCCGAGTGGCTGCTTCATGTATGAACTGTGTGCTTCTCATTACACAGTTTGAGATCCTGTTAAATTCTATAAATGTGGTTTATAGTATAGAGTCCATTTTATAAACAAGGCCAATTTGACTTCATCAAAAGCCAACCTTCAAATAGCTCCACTTATTTCTGCAGGAGTGAAAGGCTATTCTTGTCAAAGGAAATGATTCACAGCACAGTGGAAATCATTTTTCTTTTTAAATACCAGTTAAAAATTAGGAGTACTTATAAATTGAATTTTGGTCAACCAAGCCCCTCAAACCAATGTATAATGTAAAACAACAGAATGAGAACAGATGGGAAGCATTCCTTAAGATGAGCCAGAACAATACTGTAAAAACCCATTAGAGCTAGAACAGTATTGAAAGCCATGACAAAGATTTGTAATTTTTGCTGCCTATCTAAAACTCAGAAGATACAGGGCCAACTTGACCTCCTCCTTCAGAGCAGGGAGACCTCTCTGGTTCCAGTGCTGCTATGTACATAATACCTATATGCCATCTATATTTTAGTCTTAAAGTTCCCCTTCAATCAAACAGCAAAGTGCTTTAATGTTCCATGCATGCCCTTCTGAAATGAACAAGGACTTTGGAGACTGGAGCTATAACATTGCTTTGGAAAATGAAAATCACTCTCTTGTTTCCTGCTGCACAGGAAATGGACTTCCTTTTTCCAACAGGCATTTTAATGGTGTTGCATAATAATAATACATTCTTAACTATTGAGGAAATAGAAGCAGACCTGGGGGAAAACATAAGACCTCTTTTGGGCCTTAACCCAGTTTGACCTACCTGGTGGCTGTAAAACAGTGTTCACTGCATAAATCACACCATTAGTGGCCATAATATCAGCTTCAGCAACAGGCTCCTTGTTGATATATATATCATCATTTTTCTAAGGGAACAAAAAAGAAAAAAAAATCTAAAGTATATGCTAGGAGTAAGGTTATGATTAGTTCCAAACTTTATATAAAGTTTGTAGGTTATCAATCAAAACTTCAAAAGGGGAAATAAGCTCCTGCTATGCCTGTTAAGAGCACTAAACGGAGTCTGCCATACCTTGAACATGTGATGGGATAACATGGGTCATTAGAAAATGTGATCTTTATTTGAGGTTATAATGAAGGTGTTGTCTCTGTTCTCCCTGGCTGATAAGCCCCATATAAGACCCAACTTTACCCCATTTATATTATATAGTGTTCTTTTTGTTTTGCAGGAGTTTGGCTCACCATGGAGAAAAGGTATCAAATTAAGTTTGTCAGGGGAAAAAAAACACTTTATGTTAGACATTTCTTGCTAGATCTCTTCTATTGCTCTTGATAGAACTCTAATTTTTCCAACTTCGCTTATATCAGCTGAAAATCCTTAAAGTGCTTTTGTGGCATGCATTGTCCAGCCACCGTTTGAGGCTAGCTCGCTTCAAACTGCATTACATGGTCAGTGTAATGAAGCCTTAATCTGGTCCTATACTCTGGGGAAGCAAAGAAGAAACCTGCACCCTTCTCTGTAGGAATCTTTCAGATATTTAAACTTTGGAATCAAGTCACCTTTGTGTGATTTCTTAGGAAACGAATCAGAGCAGAAGAGTACAGAAGTACGGAAACAAGAGGTTCAGCAATAAATAAATTGTCCACATTTCATAAATTGGTGGAGAAAGAATTCAAATCAGCCATCTGGGAGAGAAACAGATTTTCCCAAACACTAGTACTTAAAGTTTAAGACTTCCTTAGGTTCCATGTGGTAACATTCAATCTGCTAGGCCCTTGTGGGTCTTCCTTTTAGTAGAGGAATGATATAAATGGGAAAACTGTTCTTAAAAGTACATTAGAACAAAAATGATTGAGCTTGAAAGCAAAAGGGAAACAAGAGGTTTCTTTTAAAAATAATGAAGGGAAGGAGTGAGGAGCAAACTTACAGAGCTGACTTCTAGTTTATCACCCTGCAGAGACTTGATTCTTACAGCAGCCCCAACTGCCCCGCTGACCAGTATTTCCTCCCCAATGTGGTATTTCAGAATGTTGGCAAGTTCTTTTGCATTACCTGGGGGAAAGAAACCAACAATGAATAATGGTTAACATTCAACAACCCATGTGTTTCATGGTATTCAAGGGGGAAAAAAATAAATATTCACCCTTGGATCTTATAAAGTAAGATAAGCAGATGGGGAGAAAAACACCACAAAGTACTTCTCCTTCTGCCAGAAGCATGCAGCTGGTCCTAGAAAGAGTTTCTTTACAATCCCCATATCCAAATTCTCCTTTGTGCATGAGGGTATTGCTTTCAGCTAATAAACTGTTTAAAGACTATAGGGATGAAGCATTTTGTACAAGCAGCAGGAGAGATAACCCCAAATGGCACAGGATCTTCCAGCTTCCTATGGTTTAGTTTTCAAGTACAAACATGTGTGATTCGGGTCACACACAGTTTTTGGAAGAATGGTGCAGGATATGTATTTAGGAGTTTGGAATCTTTCTTAACATAAGCAAAGAATTTCCACCATGCTGTTTTCACTTCTATAATGCTTATTTGACATCACACCATTTTCTAAAAATATTTTTCTACTACTCCAGGCTCCCACTTAACCTTCTACTATTTTTTCCATAACTGAAAAAAGAGGGGGGGGGGGATTGCCAGCATACTGGGACACTGAATTGTAATAGCTAACATATAACATTGATGTTTGGCAAGTGATTCAAAAGGTGACCTGACAAAGGGCTCTTCCACACAGCCCTATATCCCAGAATATCAAAACTGAAAATCCCACAATATCTGCTTTGAACTGGGTTATCTGCGTCCACACTCTGATAATGTGGGAGTTTCTGCCTTGATATTCTGGGATACAGGGATGTGTGGAAGGGCCCAAAGAAGAATGGCTGCAAAGTTACTATTTTAGGAAACACATGATAGTGAAGGAAAAAGCATCAGGAAGCAAAAGAACATATGACTTGGGGCATAAGGTGTCTTAAAAACCATTCTTAACAGGCAGCCAGGATCTCTGACTAAATGCCAATGTTTACATTTGAGTTGTTTTGAGCAATTATCGATGCATCAAAAACAGTAAGCATGGGGAGGAGATTGGGGAGTGAGATGGTGGATGGGTACTCTTGGGCATATTATGCCATTTGAAGTGAAGGAGAGACTGGGGTACCAGCATTGCACCTGGCAGCAGCTCTGCAAGCCCCAGAAAGAAGGAGTTTTCCCAAGAGGTGAGGGCAAGCAATGAGCCTTCTTTCTGCCTCAACAGGTGTAGGGACTGCAAAAAAGCTCCCTGCATGTCATGTGAACTGCATGGGGTACAAGACCTAACTGGAATGACAGCAATCCTTGAAAACTGAACCACACCTGCCCTACTCCATCCAATTGCTCTGGGTTGCTGCATTACTTGGTTTATTTGGCTCCACAGAAACTCTGGCATGATTGTTCTCATGCCCTTTCCCAAAACCAGGTGGCCCATAACCATTTGCAAATTGCCCCCTAACCCTTGCCTGCCTCACTTCACAACATCAGAAAGACCCACCATCTGGTCTCAGGATTAGCCCATTAAGTCTTGAGCAGCAAGATGCTTTGACCTCACAGCTCTATGAAAATAATGGTAAGCAATTTCCCCTTGCCCACACAATCATGCCTCAGGTGAAACACCACTGCCTCTTACAGCCTCTAGTACACAGGCTAGGAACTTGCTTTCAAATTCACAAACCTGTGCATTGCTTTTCTACATGTATTTTGTGAAAGACTATGCAGAGGGATAAGTCGGGAGAAAGTGATTTATGCATCGAATTGTGTCTTTGTAAGCCGCCCTGAGTCCCCTCCGGGGTGAGAAGGGCAGGGTACAAATAACCAAAATAAATAATAAATATAGATATATGTTGTTGTTGTTCATTCGTTCAGTCGTCTCCGACTCTTCGTGACCTCATGGACCAGCCCACGCCAGAGCTCTGTCGGCCGTCACCACCCCCAGCTCCTTCAAGGTCAGTCCAGTCACTTCAAGGATGCCATCCATCCATCTTGCCCTTGGTCGGCCCCTCTTCCTTTTTCCTTCCACTTTCCCCAGCATAATTGTCTTCTCTAAGCTTTGCTGTCTCCTCATGATGTGGCCAAAGTACTTCAACTTTGTCTCTAGTATTCTTCTCTCCAGTGAGCAGTCGGGCTTTATTTCCTGGAGGATGGACTGGTTGGATCTTCTCGCAGTCCAAGGCACTCTCAGAACTTTCCTCCAACACCACAGCTCAAAAGCATCGATCTTCCTTCGCTCAGCCTTCCCTAAGGTCCAGCTCTCACATCCGTAGGTGACTACAGGGAATACCATGGCTTTGACTAGGCGGATCTTTGTTGCCAGTGTGATGTCTCTACTCTTTACTATTTTATCAGATTGGTCATTGCTGTCCCCCCAAGAAGTAAGCGTCTCCTGATTTCCTGGGTGCATCTGCAGTAATCTTTGCACCTAGGCATAAGAAGTCTGTCACTGCCTCCACGTTTTCTCCCTCTATTTCCCAGTTGTCAATCATTCTTGTTGCCATAATCTTGGTTTTTTTGATGTTTAGCTGCAACCCAGGCTTTTGCGCTTTCTTCTTTCACCTTGATTAGAAGGCTCCTCAGCTCCTTCTCGCTTTCGGCCATCAGAGTGGTGTCATCTGCATATCTGAGGTTGTTAATGTTTCTTCCAGCAATTTTCACCCCAGCCTTGCATTCATCAAGCCCCGCACATCGCATGATGTGTTCTGCATACAAGTTAAAAAGGTTGGGTGAGAGGATGCAGCCTTGCCGTACGCCTTTCCCAATCTTGAACCCGTCTCCTGTTCCGTGGTCAGTTCTGACTGTGGCTCCTTGGTCCTTGTACAGATTCCTCAGGAGAGAGGGAAGGGGGCTTGGGATGCCCATCCCACCAAGAACTTGCCACCATTTATGATGATCCACACAGTCAAAGGCTTTAGAGTAGTCAATGAAGCAGAAGTAGATGTTTTTCTGAAACTCCCTGCCTTTCTCCATTATCCAGCGGATATTGGCAATCTGGTCTCTCGTTCCTCTGCCTTTTCTAAACCCAGCTTGAACATCTGGCAACTCTCGCTCCATGTATTGCTGGAGTCTTCCTTGCAGGATCTTGAGCATTCCCTTCCTGGCATGAGAAATAAGGGCCACTGTACGGAAGTTTGAGCAGTCTTTCGCATTTCCCTTTTTTGGTATGGGGATATAAGTTGATTTTTTCCAGTCTGATGGCCATTCTTGTGTTTTCCATATTTGCTGGCAAATGGCATGCATCACCTTGACAGCTTTTAAGATTTTAAACAGTTCAGCTGGGATACCGTCATCTCCTGCTGCCTTGTTGTTAGCGATGCTTCTTAAAGCCCATTCAACCTCACTCCTCAGGATGTATGGTTCTAATTCACTCACTACACTCTCAGAGCTATCCTCAATATTATTATCCTTCCTATACAGATCTTCTGTATAGTCTCACCACCTTCTCTTGATCTATATCAAGAGATATATATAGAGATCTTCTCTTGATCTATTGATATATATATATATATATTGATATATATATATTGATATATATATATATATTGATATATATAGAGATCTTCTCTTGATCTATATCTAGAGATATATATAGAGATATATATCTCTATGCATTTGTCTCTAACATTGGATTTGCGCTTCATTTTTCCTTAGGTGCAAACCTAAACCGAAGCTAATGAGATTTAGGAGCAAAGTTTGATCTAATTATAAGAAATTACAATGAATATCATCTAATGTGACAACCATAATATCATAGGGGTATCAAGAGGAATCGAATCCAACTTTCTGGCAGTGCAGGAATCTACTGCTCAAGTGGTTCTCTTTTTAAACCCTTCTGACAAAGGAGAACCCACCATTTCTCATGCTATTTTATTCCACCAGTTTTAAATTCAGAAACAAAAGTCAGTTTTCACACAGAAGGAAAATATACCCAGTTTTTGTCCTATATTCTACCAAAAGCTGGCATGCTGTTTATTATTAACATGAACTATGATTTTGGGGTACTTCTCAGTGGCCAACATAGCATTAGTTTTCTGAAGTGAGAAGTACTCCAAGCTGAAGATACTTGAAAAAAAAGTGATCAAACAAGAAACCACAACTACTGTTGCTTCCTCCCTTATGTCTTACACAACACACTTTGCTATAATGTTCCCACTAACTCTGATTCATTGCTTTCAGAACAGTAAGCTAAATATTTTGCTTACAAAGCCAGAGAACATTTTGGCTATATACATCTGGGATGTCTCAGCTTCACAGCTGCTTACAGTAGCGACAAATCAGTTTATGAAATATTTGGACAATAAGCAATAGAAGGAATAGACAGAGTGCTGCTCTACACACTTAAAAGGCTAACCAACTCTCATAAGCTGATGCTGTGTTACGTCACAAATTGGTTGGGCTTCAAGAGTGAAAAAATATTGTCCTAGAATGGCTTGTATTTGTTCCTAGCCATAACTATTTTTCAGCCCATGTCTCAATATTTAAAAAAAGATGACTAAACATGTAAACAGGCTTTCCTTACATAGCCTGTAGTCAATGCTTTATGAACTGAATCATCCCTATGGTAATAGAAGAACTGTGTTGAATCAGATCAGACCAAAATCTGTATGATCCAGCATTCAGCAATGAACCAGTTGTCTATGACAAACAATCATACAACACAACACCATCCTACTCATGTTCTGAAGCAACTGATAACCTAAGGCACTGTCCAGTGCTTCTCCTAGTGGAGGGAATATATCTCCAGCATTTCCCCCCATCAGCACAGAGAAAATTAATTGACATACACTGATGATCATGCTAAAATTCTTGATAATCATTTTAGACATTAGCGTTAAAGGAAAGAAACCATGTATTGCATACAGAAATATTTAAGTTAGAAAAAATACAATGTGCACATCAAATTTAGCAAAAGAAAGAAAAACAAAAGAAAGAAATAATGTTTTGAACATATAATATGACCCCTGTATCTATAGAGAATAAGTTCTCTCCCTACATCATAGAATCATAGAATCATAGAATCAAAGAGTTGGAAGAGACCTCATGGGCCATCCAGTCCAACCCCCTGCCAAGAAGCAGGAATATTGCATTCAAATCACCCCTGACAAATGGCCATCCAGCCTCTGCTTAAAAGCTTCCAAAGAAGGAGCCTCCACCACACTCCGGGGCAGAGAGTTCCACTGCTGAACGGCTCTCACAGTCAGGAAGTTCTTCCTAATGTTCAGATGGAATCTCCTCTCTTGTAGTTTGAAGCCATTGTTCCTTTGTGTCCTAGTCTCCAGGGAAGCAGAAAACAAGCTTGCTCCCTCCTCCCTGTGGCTTCCTCTCACATCTTTATACATGGCTATCATCATATCTCCTCTCAGCCTTCTCTTCTTCAGGCTAAACATGCCCAGCTCCTTAAGCCGCTCCTCATAGGGCTTGTTCTCCAGACCCTTGATCATTTTAGTCGCCCTCCTCTGGACACATTCCAGCTTGTCAATATCTCTCTTGAATTGTGGTGCCCAGAATTGGACACAATATTCCAAATGTGGTCTAACCAAAGCAGAATAGAGGGGTAGCATTACTTCCTTAGATCTAGACACTATGCTCCTATTGATGCAGGCCAAAATCCCATTGGCTTTTTTTGCCGCCATATCACATTGTTGGCTCATGTTTAACTTGTTGTCCACGAGGACTCCAAGATCTTTTTCACACGTACTGCTCTCGAGCCAGGCGTCCCCCATTCTGTATCTTTGCATTTCATTTTTTCTGCCAAAGTGGAGTTTCTTGCATTTGTCACTGTTGAACTTCATTTTGTTAGTTTTGGCCCATCTCTCTAATCTGTCAAGATCGTTTTGGATCCTGCTCCTGTCCTCTGGACTATTGGCTATCCCTCCCAATTTGGTGTCGTCTGCAAACTTGATGATCATGCCTTCTAGCCCTTCATCTAAGTCATTAATAAAGATGTTGAACAGGACCGGGCCCAGGACGGAACCCTGCGGCACTCCACTTGTTGCTTCTTTCCAGGATGAAGAGGAAGCCTTGGGGAGAATCGTCCTCTGTGTTCGTCCACTTAACCAATTACAGATCCACCTCACCGTAGTTTTGCCTAGCCCACATTGGACTAGTTTCCTTGCCAGAAGGTCATGGGGGACCTTTTCGAAGGCCTTACTGAAATCCAGGTACGCTACATCCACGGCATTCCCCGCATCTACCCAGCTTGTAGCTCTATCGAAGAAAGAGATCAGATTAGTCTGGCATGACTTGTTTTTGATAAATCAATGTTGATTTATCAAAAACAAATCATGCCAGACTAATCTGATCTCTTTCTTCAATAGAGCTACAAGCTGGGTAGATGCGGGGAATGCCGTGATGTAGCGTACCTGGATTTCAGTAATCAAACCATACCAAAATGAATGACTTAGTAGAAGCATACCGTAGGGTCACAATGAACCCAGAAACTGTCAAGAGAGAACATCTCTCCTTCTTATTTACATCTTTCATCAAGAAGAGGTGATGACTGCATTGAATCTTTGATAATATCATTTAGCTAGCAAATATTACAGAAACCCACTGAAATTTGGAATTATTTCTCAATCAGCCATGCGTGTAGAGATACTCATGGGAGGTGGAATGGGAAGATATTACAGATTGTTATCTATAGATGTATGAGCAATTTCACCATCTGCAGGTCCATGCACCCTCCCAAACCTACAACAAAGCTGTTGAGCAACATCCAACAAGCTGATTTGTTTTGCCTCCCCTTTGCTAGAACATTCTACTTTCTGTCTATTAGTAGTGATGCATCTAGCTGTCTTTTGCTACAACACTGTTTGGCACAGAACAAGGAGAAAATGTCAACATGCTACTTTCTGAGTAATAGTAGTGATGGTAGATCTGGAACTACATTAAATTGTAGCAAACAACAATAAAGAATACTTGATGACAGTCTCCCCCCCCCCACCCCGAATTGATAAAATGGTTATGTACTTCCTTTCCTCAATGAAAAGTATTAACTCACAATGGAAACTTGGACATCTCTTTAATAACCAATAGAGAACTCCCTATGTTTTCCTGAGATTAAATTAACTGTTGGAGGCTTACTTATTCAAGGAATACCTAAAATATAGTATTATATTACAGTAAAGTGGATATATGGAAATTTACCCATGAGTTTGTTCAGCTCCCTTTGTGACATGGCTCGGAAAGCTTCATTGGTTGGTGCAAATACTGTGAAGGACCGTGGTCTATTCAGCATCTCTGTAAGACCTGCAGACTGGATGGCTGCTACAAGGGTACTAAAAATAGTCATATGCAGAGCAAAAATACACTAAGTATTGTGCATTTTCTGAAAACAGTTAAAAATGTCACAGCAAAAATACAACGGTTCCAGTCTAAAGCATCACATGCATCCCAAAGAAACTCCTGAGCAAATTCTCCATTTATTTCACCACATGACACAGTTTTATTTGGGCAGTCCTTTCCCTTGGTGCTCAATATCTGCAAATTAGTGTTGATCTAGGGAACACCAAGTTGAGAATTCCCCAAGAGAATCTGTCTGTCTGCTGTTATATGCTGATTGAGACCAACTTTTACATTTGCAGTTCACCTATTGTTAAGAATGAACAAAAAGGTTCCAGCAGTTTGACTGTCCCACCTGTATAAGGTTCAGTTGAATTAACTGAAGACTCAGGAAGCAGTCTCACTCCTCATTGTTTACAATAAACTGTGGCCTCTAAACTTAATCGCTTCAATCTGCAAAATGTGATCAATATTGATGAATGTGCTTGGTATTTTATACAGACTCATTTCATAGAGTTTTCTTAGGCAATGAATACTCAGAGATTATGTTGCCCCATTTTTTCCTCTAGAATAGAGCCTAGAGCACTTGCCATTTATTGAATATCTCCTATCCAAGTACTAACCTGAGCTGACCCTGCTTAGCATCCATAATCAGATGTATCTAATACTCTATTATCTTATAGTACTGGTTCAATGTGCTAATGACAAGCCAAAGATAATGATGTTAAGAGCCCTAGCCATGGCAGACCACATATTTTGTATGCAAACGTTCCCAGCTTCAATATTCTGACTGAAAATTAGAGAACACTTGCCACTCAGTATAAGAGCATTGAGTGAGATGGATAAGTAATCCCACACAGTATTAAGCAGCTTCCTATATCCCTTTTACACATCGAAAAGAAATGCTTAGAATTAGATTACTGGTTCCAAAATATTGGCTGATAGCCTCCATCAAACAGGATGTCATCTCCCTACCTCTGATTCTGAAACTCAACTTAAAACTTAAAAGCTCATCAGCTGTCCAAAGCAACTGAGATTGTTACTCAATAGGCTGCTGCAGAAAGTTGTAAATAGCTCTGTTCTAACAGCAAGTGATATCGCAATGAGGGGCTGGTTATATCTTTCTGCAGGACCCTGCTCAGCAGCAACAGAGATATTCCTTAAAAGCCAGACAAGAGACTGTCTTTTAAGGTGGGCTTCATGGGCATCTGTAGTGGAGGCAATAATGACGCAATTATAAATGAGCATACAAAACAATTACTATGTCTTAAGTCTAACTCAGGACATCATAACTATAAAGATGTCAGCCACAGGTAAAAAAATGAGGCACCAGTAATACTCTTTCTAAAGTCAAATTATTTCACTATCCACCCCACTCTACTGTTTCCTCGCTAACAGTAAGAAGTAAAAACAAGACCTGAAACGATCATCTGCCTTAAGTACGTCCATCACAGTTCCAATTGGGGGAGTCACCATCTTGTCAACAGCAAACAAGGTACCAAATCTCCCTCGCTTGTCATGGGCAGCAATGCAGGCATTTTCAATACAGAGATTCTACAAGAATAATTGCATTTTTTTTTAAAAAAGTCCCAATTAAAAAATAATTGTTTACATGACAACAAATTCAGTCTACTGTCCCATTTATTTGCATACACTGCTTATTTATTTATTTATTTATTTATTTATTTATTTATTTATTTATTTGCACACACTGCTAGATCGGGTGCTCATTTTAAAGATATTTCCCAATTTGCATGTAGATCTTTAAGGGGGAAAGGGCTGCACAAGGGAAAAAGGAAAACCCTTTTGCAAGGATTTCAAACTCAGCAGGAATGATATTTGAACTAATGAAATCAAAGAAACTGGAAGTTATCATTAAATGGAAACATACATTGCGGTATACAAATACTCTCAGCTCTTTGCCACTCAGAGTTTCCAGCTTCTGTCCATGGAAAAGGTACTTTGAGGAAAGCTGCTGTTTAATGATGTGATCCCGGAGTAAGTTCCGATCTGCAGAAGGAGTCCGACCTGCAGAACATATAAAATGAAACAAAATAAAGGTTCGTAAATGGACATCAGTCCAGTAAGATTGCCAGTTGGTTGCACTCCAGAATCCTGTTGGAAAGTATAGAAGTGCTAGCAATTGCTTTCCTTTTACTGTGGAAACAGTGTTTGTATGGAGCAAATTCAGTGTCAGCCACCTCTGAGGAGAAGCTTGTATAAACAGTGATGGAAAATTATGATTCATGTTGGTATTTGTCCTCATCCATCACTCTGATACTTTCCAGAACCAAAAATGACAGTAAAAGACTTTACATTTCCAAGACAATGCTCTCCCTAGTTACACCTTCCCAGCCTGCTGGAGACATTGCCTTAAACTTATTTCAAAAGATTTTTGTGCAGTACATGCCATTTCCTTTAGAGGCCATAGCTCTCCTCTCCTCCCAAATAAGTACTAGTGAGTTGCAATTACCCCCAAAAGGGCAAAAAAAGAAAAAGACACATCAATTTAGACACTCTGCTATAAAAGTAGCAATAAGGTACAGTTATGTTGCTTTTTATCCTTTTAAGGGGTTTATTTTGAATAGTTTATAATACAATAATTCATACTTTAGATGACTTTATAGAAGAGATCCAGTTCTTACCTTTGTAGTATGAGTTAATGGGCACCAAGAGGGTCAGTCGCTCATTTCCAGTGAGATGAGAACCAAGACCAGCTCGTTGAAAAAGTTCAATAGACGTTGAAACATCAGACTCCCTACCCAACTCCAACAAATTTTTAACTTCAGTTTACAAAATGAAAGGAAAGAAAGAGAATCGGATTACTGCATAATTGTTATTTATTGTTTAACAGATTAATTCTCAATGCTTCTGAAACCAGAAGATGCAGCAAAACTGTCACCCAAAAATGACCAAATTCTGAATTTAAGCACTTCGCACATTCACTGTCTACATGCATTCAGGTAAATGCAGGAATTCAAACTGTGCTATTGTCTCTTGACATGAATGCAGTGTGCAGCACCCTGAGATCCCCGAGACTGAATACAAGGAATTCCAAATCTCCCTTCCCAAAGATAGAGGTTTGTGGGCTCTACCTATCCTATTCCCTATTTTCCATAGAAGAAAACGACTCAATTCAGGGTGATTAAGGCATTGGCAAGTGCATATGACATGCCTCATTTTGAGAGAATAACAGAAGGAAAATTATACCTGAGTCTGGGATGAGCAATTCATTGACAAAGTGTATCACTCCATTGGTAGCCATGACATCCTTGTTAGCAATGATAGGTCTCCCATTGAGGGTCAGTTCATCCCCATTACAGCCAATTTCCAACATGTTGCCTTCTAATGTTTCCATAGATAAACCGGCAATAATAGCTTCAGCACACATGGCTGATTTCAAGATGTGATTGCTCAACAGGTCTACATGGAAATAAAACACAGGAAGCCATTTTCAAGCAGCTTGGGAGTTACTACTTCGCACAGGAACACATTGACACAGAAGATGTTCATGGCTTGCATGAGCCCATGAAGTGTAGACAGCTGGACATTAGAGGGTCAAGTCACTACTGATCTTCTGATCCTTTCCTTACAATGTCATTAGGTAATGAGAAAATCTAGTACTCTTTAGGTATGTGCAAAGTCTTCCTTATTGATTCCAAAACACAGATTTACACACACACACAAATTGCACTTCATCAGAAACTATGGCTGGAATACTCATTTGTGAAAGCAAGCACATCTTTTTCAGAAAAACAAGATTACTTTTCTAAGCTTATTGCAGGCACTTGCCAGAATGGAACACTGCCTCTCATCTAAAAACTTGGACATCCACAATAATTGTAACTTTTTTACAATCTAAAAGCAAATGTATATTTTAAAAACCTTATTGCCTTTGTTGAAGTTGTAGACATCAGAACAGAGTTTAGAAAATTACTCTTCAAACTACAGCCAGTACAGGCTGGAGAACTCTCTAAATTTAAGTCCAAAAGATGACCAGGCTGGTGACTTTTTAGTATTGCATATGAAGTGCTGATCAACTTGCTCATTTAGTTCCTCATGAAAATTGCTGACCAGCTTGCTTGCTATTGCTCATTCAATGGCTCTCGATGCATCCGTTTTTGCTTTCTGACTAATGACTTAGTGCTGGTGCAGCATCTTTCATGGCTCTGTGTTCTTGCCACCAAGCAAAAAGTCTCCCTTCAAGTAAATTTGCAGGAAAGGTCATGCCCACTGCACTTTTGCAATCAAGCATACCATAATGGGGACCAGGGCCTCTCTTCCGTTTTGCTGTCTTCTGCCCTTAAAGAACCTTAAGGATAGAATTTAGAGAGAGAGAAGCCAACGTGGCTGCCTTTCTTATCTCTAATGGAAGGGATATGCACAGTTTTACAGTACTTTAATTATCACAATCCATCATGAGATTTGTAGTTTGGTGAGGTACTTAGAAGGTACCCCAAGAAAAGAGGCATCACTTTAATTATTGAAATCTGTAGTATGAGTATTCTACTTTGAAAAGTGATATAAGCAAGAAAAATAATGCTGTAATAGAACTAGATTAATGCCTAACCAAAAATTCAAAGTACAGTTAGACCCCCTCCCCTAAGCACAGAACCCATATCCACAGTTTTGTTTACAAGCACCCAGGAAAAATAGCCTCTCTAGGCATCTTCTAGATCTTCCAACACAACTCTATGATATGCTAAGTCTGGAAGTGGGGTAATTTAATGGTGTTCAGTTATATCTGCAGTTTCATGTAACTGTGGTTCCAGCTGGGAACATATTTCCTATGGATACAGAGTTTTTATTGTACTACAAAAAAAAAACCCTCCATTATTCCTTAGGTTTGTATCATTAGTAAGTAAAGTGGCATGAAGCAGATATAGGTTTGTAGTGCTGAGAGGGCCAAATTTCTACAACTTTTTATCATCTCTTTCAAAGTCTGAAAACTAAACCCAACTTCAAAGAAGTTATTGGAAGTCACAGTCCTGTGGTAGATGGGGCAAAAGGACAGAACCAATCTGTTCATAATACCCAGATACTACACAGCATATCATGGCCAGGGTTCCCAGAACTGTTTTTAAAGGGGGGTGGGGGTGGCTAGCAGGCAGGTTATTGTGAATATTGCAGTTAACAAGGTGACTACTATGATGGCAATAACAAAATAATAAATGAAATATTGTTTAGAGCACAAAAGTGATATACAGGAAAAAAGAGAAAATATGCAAGGGCTATGACGTGATGGAAAGATGGTTATAAACACTCATAACAAGCAACTGCTCAGTGAACCCATTTACAGAAGAGGGCTTCAGCCCACCCCAGCCTAGCCTTTGAAAGGATTCAGACACTTTGTCCTCCACCTTGAGCCCTGGTGATGAGAGTTTACCTTTTAAAGCTTCTGGGTCTCTCAGGATCCTGTTTAAAGTTTCTTGTGGGATCTTCTCAAAGGCTTCATTGGTTGGAGCTAACAATGTATACTGGCCTTCTTTTTCTAAAAGGCTGTTCAGACCAGCTGCTGTCACAGCAGTCTTGAAAGAAATGCAAAACAAATTAGCAAATTGGAAAGACCTCTGTGATACGACAAATTAAGTAGATCTCCGGGAAACTGATCCCAACATAAGCTGACATCAGAAAATATGGACTTACCAAAAGGGTTTCTAGATCTTCTTCAACCTCAACTATCTGCAGGATATTATTTGTTGTTGTAGAAATGACTTTGTCAATGAGATGGACAACTCCATTGGTGGCATGATGGTCAGCCTTCAATAACCTAGCACAGTTCACTGTTACAATCTGGAGAAAACAAAAATCAGCAACATGGATTGTAGGCATGAAAAATGTTGACATAACAATATGGTGCTTGTTTGTTTGAAGAACTACAGTTTATTAGAGGCCTCAGTGTACAGATATAGGTTGAGTCCTTAAGACTTCATTTCAAAGAGTTCCACTGACTTGAGAGTGTGCTGTCACACGCTGGGCCTGAATTAATGTCTGTGTACAGGACAGCTCTCTGTATGCCCAACGGGATGCCAAGGTGCCTCAGCTGAAGGGCCCTTTAGATTTCCCAACACAAAGTTCTACTGAGGCTCAAGATACATTCAACAAAGTTCTTTATTTGGGCTTAAATCTTCAAACAAATGAATTAAACACTTTATAACCTTGGAAAACCGGTAGCTTCCTCAATCTGCCAACAAGGGGCAGGCAACTCGTGGTAAACTGTTTCTTTCTTCCTTAGGGAAATCCTTTGACCCCTCCCTGGGCAATCTCTCTTTACCTTGCTGGCGTGAGGCCCCTACTCCCGGCTCCAAGCTGCTTTACGGATAGCCCAAGTGGTCCCTTACCAAGCAAGGTTCCTGTAGATCTGCCAAGCTGAAAGGTGCCCTTTAGTTTCTCCACGAAGGCTGTAGGAACTATTTAGTTCCCAGCAGAGCTGTGGAACTATTTCTTTAACCCCCAGCAAAAGCTGTGGAACCTTTCCTTTTTCCCCCAGCAGAGCTGTGAGAAGAGAAGCTTTTGTGCAGGTGGGAAAGAGAATCCCACACGTCCTTCTGTTAGGCTTCCAACAGTGAGACTGAAGTCCTCCTTTCCCTCCAAACCCCTGGGAAAAGGGGCAGGTCTAAAGATTCTAATGATGATTGACAAGTTGTTGACCCTATGATTGCAACCTGAGGGAAGCTACCTTATTGCAAAATGCATGGCTTAAATAGATACATGCAAACTAGCAGTGCAAGAAAAGGAATTCAAATCTCTTGGCACTGCTGTGCCAGCACAGAGAGCCTCATCACCAGTTTTAATACATAAATAAACAAAGTGCTTGATGGATTTGTTTTTGTAAATAATATCACTGATAAGCAGATCACCTTTTGTACTAAAAAACAACTTAATACGAAATACAAGTATACTAAATGTTACAAAAGTTGGGTGATCAAATTATTCAGTGCTGTTTCTTCACATACCACAGTGCTATATTCATCCAGACATTGACAGAGTTGCAGTCCAACACTGAATGGACCACATGTTCCAGATACTCACTCCATTTGGATAATGGTGGATCTGGATATCGATATTCTGGTACATCGAAGGGAGAGATGTTCCATGCTTCAACTCATCAGTTAAGACTCGCTTATTCACCATGTGGTAGCGAAGAGCATTCAGCAGCTCAATATTTACATTACTCACCAACGAATCTAACATTTCCTAAGAAGAAGAAATCTAATTCGTTACTCAATTCTACTCAGTTCATTTTCCCAGTTCAAATGCAGTTGACTCTGCCAGCCACAGCATGAAAGGAAGAGAGAAGTCAGCCTCTACCTAGATATCCCTCTTTAGTGGGAATTGAGGCTATAGTGAATATACAACTCCTTTGTTGCAACAGCTTCACCGGCTACTGGTCTATTTCTAGGCTCAGTTCAAATGCTGGTTATGACCTTTAAAGATTGTATGACTATCTGAAGAACTGTATCTTCCAATCTGGGCTTGACTGTACTCTCAAGATCTTCAAGGGAGGTTATGCTCTCAAGCTCAATACCTTCTTAGGCACATTTGAAGGCAACAGTTAAGAGAGACTTCACTGCAGCTACATTTAGACTTTGAAACTTCCTCCCTAGGATGGCTAAGATGGCTGTCTTTTTATTGTTGGGGGATACCTTTCTATTCAAGTAGGCATATGGAAATTACGCATATGTGTGTGTGCACATATGTGTGGTCAGATAGTCTGGATCGTACAAAGCTTTAAAGGTCATAACCAGCATTTGAACCATGCCTGGAAACAGACCAACAGAAGCTACAGGGGTGTTTTGAATGGATTGGGAGGAGTCAGCCTTCTGTGGTGTGATGAGTCAAAGTGCAGTATTTTCAAATCATAGGAATCATAATAATCAGGTGTGATCAGGAGAGCATGCATCCTGTCTCAATACAGTATGCATCCAGTCCATAAAAAATATGGGATGCACATTGATACAAACAGATTATAACCCAATGTCCTAGGTCAGGAGTGAAAAATCTTCAACATTTCAATGTTTGTACCTCAACTCCCAGAAAATCCAGCTAGCATGAGCAACAACAGGAAATTATGGAAGCTGTAGTTTAAAACATCCGAGGGACAAAAGATATTTTCCCCTGTCCTGGATAATAGGGATTGTGCCTTCCCGAGCAAGTAACTGTATTAATGAAAGGGACAGATCCATTTGCATAGATCCTGTGACAATAGTGTTCCACTATGCATTTTGTCATAGCAAGAAGTGTTCAGATGCTCTTATTTTAACTTACAATGGTACCATTCAATGTTTTGCAAAAAAAAAAAAGATTTAGTTGCACCTTATTATGCACTTCCCACTGTGTAGCTAAGTACTCCTATTTTTCATTATCTCCTCCGCAGCCCATTTATGTTAGGAGAAATGAATCATTGTTTGTTCTTACAGCAGGCAATGATGCCCAGGCCTCATTGGTTGGGGCAAAGATTGTGTAGCTCCCGGGGCTTGTGATTTCAGCACTCAGGTTAGAGCTGGCAGAATAGAGTTGAGTGGTAGTGGCTCCAACAATTCCAAGGGTCTCATAAAGGTTTGAAAGTGGCAATGCTGTTAAAAACAACAACAATGTTACATTTAGTTCACTTTGACAAGGTAAGAGCAGCACCATGGTAACAACACTACTATTCTGGATGAGGATGATGAATGCTGGATCAAGCTGTTGAGTCCAGGTTTGCATAGATCCAGATTTGTACTCATGTATAGAGTCAATGGAACTAGTCATCCTTAAGTAAATCTCATTGGTTTCTGTGATTTATCCATGACCATAATTAAATCTGAGTCCAAAACAAAAGAATTAATTCCAAGTTTTAAAACACCAACCTTCATAGCAAACCTCAAATGATGCTTTAGGTACCATTCATTGGTTCTGAATATGTATATGTAAGTCATATGTTCAGTATCTAGAATTCAATTAAAATTCAGAGTCTAAGCATGAAAAAGATGTAATGAAATGGAAAAACAACAGAACTGAGGAGCCCTTTCAGTATCCACCATCTTCCATCTGTGCCAGCCTGTCCACCCTAGCAATTATTTTCTGTCAGTTGCTAAGTGAGTAACTTTCTGAGGACTGAGAGAAACTGTCCTCAGAAAGCAAATTATCACCATTGGTTTTGGAAAGAAGGAACAGGACACCATATTATTCCACGCATTAACATCCAGATTGCCCTCAGCATCTGTGACATATATGATAAAAAGCAAGCCAAACAAAAATAGAATAATTACATGGGAGACCAATTACAGGAATAGAACAATACTGCACATGCAGGGAAGGTAAAGCTAAGCTTATTTATGAACAGCCAATTTATTAAAGGTTGATTCATGTCATGTGGGACTTAGGAATAGTCCTTAAAGAAAAGAGGAGTATGGAGGAGAGGAATTTGTCCCAGATAGAACTGAAAACAAAACAGGAATTTAGAAAAGGGAGAAAAACTGTGAAGATTGCATTAAATATATTTTCAGAGAACAAAGTGAACAACTGCATTGCTGGATAACCAGAAGCATTCTTTTAGAAACAAGAGGACTTCACTGTAATTGATCTACCAAGTGCTTTCTGGATATACATGAGCAAGCCCAGTCCAGCCTAGTAGCTTTCTTCACTGGTGAATAGTGTTTAAAATAATGTTACCTTTGAACCTAGAAATATATTTATCCATGACTCAAATAAGCAAAGACAGAAAATAAATTATGGCTCTTTGTGATAAGACTACTTTAACATATGGCCGAACTATTTGACAGCTTGCTTGTGGGAAGAGGTACCAAAAAAGTTGCATGCTCTGAGACATACGGACACCCCTCACAATGACCAGAAGTAGGAGGTGTTTTGCTCTATGATACTTTTGATATGTTAGCAGGATGCAATGTGAGTAAAAAAAAACAACTACTCTTTGTATATATGAGGACATACTTGTGTTTCAAGTTACTAAATGTATTTTGTACTTCCCAAACATTATCTTTAAAATCAAGTGTGACTGCCACTTTTCTTATCAAAGTGTCTAAGGTCTATAAGTGAGGAAGACCTTTCCCCCTCTTCAGTGAAAGCTACCTAAGAGGTTTGTTGGCTGAATCTCTAAACAAACACCCCATATATAAACTATTCCAACTTTATGCAGGATTTTACTTTGTGCTTTATTTACCAGCTGGGCAGCCTTTCTCTCCAGGAACTTCTTCATATCCTGGACAGCATTCATAGGCAATCACTCTGCAGTGAGAAAGAGACACAGTACATTAGATGAAAAAACTAACTGGTATTCAATTGATATCTATTTCAACTGATATGGGGAATGCCAAATGTAGTCAATTCCAATGATACCGTGTGTCCCCAACCTGGAAGTTCTCGAGAAATTCTGGCAGCCATTACTCCTAACTATTGGCCATGGAACTAACACAACTAGGCTAGAGAAGGCTGAATTAGGCAACTGAATAAAATGTTCAGAAATACATATAAGACGATAGCTTGAAGTAGCTATAAAATGCCTTCAATGAAGTCTGGAATCAGAGACCCTTTTACTGACATGCAAGCTTTTCATATGAAGGAAACTTGGAGGATGGGGTAACATCCAAGCATGTAATTCACCTGTCTAATGCACCTTCTACGTTGCCATATAAAATCCAGATTATGTGCTTTGAACTGGATTATATGGCAGTGTGGACTCATATAATGAGTTCAAAGCAGATAACAGGATTATCTGCATTGATAATCTAGATTGAATAGCAGTGTAGAAGGGACCTACGTGATACTTCACAATTATTTATTATTTATTAACTACATTTCTATACCGCTTTTCTCACCCCTGGGGGGACTCAAAGCGGTTTACAACATAATAAATGGCAAATTCACTGCCTCACATATATATAAAAATATCACGTATCTAAATCAATAACCTATAACTGTAGATAAAAACCATTAAAACTATAAAAAAACATCAAACATAGACATAAGCATGAAACATATTATTGCTGCAATTAACAAAGTAGACCCCATCTCCATGTATGATGGAGTCAAGATACTACAATTCACTGCATTTAACTGGAATTCATACACAGGCCTAAACTGAAATTGTGACTGAACTAACTGAGCATCACTGAATTAATGGGAATTTGGTAAAATTTAGGTAAGTTCCATTGATTCAGTGGGTCTATTTCAACTGGGTTCAACTACAGATTTCAGCCATAGACTTTGGATATTTTCACTTAAGATGTGACCTGCATGCTTGCCTAGTATCCCACAAGGTTCCCACAAGGCACGTTTCTTATGTGCAAATGTATTTAAGGATATAACTTGCAAGAAGAAGTTCTCATTTGTGAAGGAAGTACTTGCTTACATACAATCATTGCCATGGCAGGATTTGAAAAGAGGCCTCCCCAATCACAGTAATAACATATACAGACAGTCCCCAAGTTACGACCAAGGTAGGTTCTGTAGGTTTACTCTTAAGTTGAATTTGTATGTAAGTCAGAACAGGTACATTTTTAAGTGTAACTCCAGCCAAATAGATACATTTTTTAGCTCTGGGTAGCATAGGGAAAAGTTAACCCCCCACCCCCCATGGCATTTGTTTTGCCCCTGTTCAGAAGATTTCGTTTCACTTTCTTGGATTTTGAAAAATTTGGTTTGTTGTGTAAAACAGGGATTGGCGAGAAAGATTAAGTGGCAACACCTTTCCCCCATGATAACTTTTTCAGTAGTGAAGTTCCCTTCCTGGGGGTTTATTTATTTCATTTCCTGTTGTTCCACCCCCATTCTTAACTAAGGGTCATTTGTAAATCAGATGTTTGGAATTCAGGGACTCTCTGTAGTAAGTTAAAGCATGGATTTCCAGTTTGCACATTATTTCCTCTCCAAAATAATAGGAAAGCACCACCTTTTATGAACAGAAAAAATCAGTAGTATAGTCACTAGTGTATATTGATCCTTGGTCTGAACAAAGAAACTGAAACATTCAACTTTAAACAAAGCCTGCCATAATCGCAATGAAGTTACAGATGTGGAAAGAATCAACCCAGTCACTTGCTCTATTGTATAAAGAATGCCTATAGCACAGTGGTTCTCAACCTGGGGTCCCCAGATGTTTTTGACCTTCAACTCCCAGAAATCCTAATAGCTGGAAAACTGGTTGGGATTTCTGGAGTTGTAGACCAAAAACATCTGGGGACCCCAGGCTGAGAACCACTGCCATATTCAGAGACTGCAGTGCTAGTTCGCATTGCACAAGAATACATGTAGCAGGAAACTACAAAATGTTGTTGTGCTTTTTAATTGTTGTTTATTTATATAGTACCATCAATGTTAATGGCACTTTACAAATAAAATAACAATAATATACTATATACACAATAAATTGTGTAAACCCAATGAGAGATATGAAAGCCCAGAAGAAAACCAGAAAAAGTCTGAGGAAATTCATTTTTTCCTCATTATTTTCTGGAGCTTCTTTTTTCAAAAATAAAATTGGTATTGCCTTTGCTTGTCCAATTGAAAATAACAAGGTTCACTATTCTCTATAGTTTCACATATCCAAGTGATGCCTGGGAATGTATCCCCTGTGGATATCAGGGTCAAACTGTATATTTAACATTGAAAAACCTGCATTGTTTGCCTGGTAGCGTTGCTGACCATTTTGTTGTTGAATCATAAAGGTCTAAGAACTGTAAGACCAACACATGCCCTGTTATCTTAAAGAGAAGCCTTACCGGCTTGTTCTATATCCAACTGAATACTGCTGGGTTGCATGGCCAAGGTCTGACAGTTCAATGATGGTACCCACCCTTTGACACACTTTCCCTCCAAAGACTCCAAGTGGCAGACCTTTCTTCAGATGATGACGACAATAATTCCTTTTTTATATTATTGTTAGTATTGAAGTACTGTTTTATGTTTTTAAAGTGCATTACAACTATGTTACATTTATTTTTAGATCAGACTAGATCTGAATTTTAATGTAAACTATTTAGAGGGTTTTATTACATCACACAATACATAAATACTGTAAAGTCATAAGGACCATCACACAACTTTCAGAAATACAGCTGCTTTATGCCAGAACTGTCTGTATTTTCAGGCCTACCCAAGACTTTGTTTGGTGCTGAACATAGACAAATGTTACTGCTACAAGATAAGCTTCATTGGTGGTAAATGATGCAGCAGATGGTAACAGCTGAGAAGCATTCCATCCCTTTGGCTGATGGAGTGCAGCATTCCCCTCACAGCCAGTGGTAGAACTGGACCCTAAACAACTAATTCTACCCAGACTAAAAGATGCAAATTCATCAATGCTAATTTATCAGGGCATATTTGTTTATTACCCTTAAGAATTTGTTTGTGAAGTTGTTCAGAAGAAGAAAAGCCATGCAGGACAGCAAAATCCCTTCTGTTAGAGATACATAAACACATGGGCTATAATGGTACCATGCAATCACAGGAGGAATTAAGTCTGTATCTTGCCCACACTGGTAGCCAAGATAAGGATAGGAAGATGTCAGCACAATACAACTAAAAATATGAACTGAACTAAACATGGCAATCAAACCACTTTGAGTCCCCTTAGGGGTGAGAAAAGCGGTATACAAATACTGTACATAATTATGTCTAGTCATTTATGGGCCAGGCTAGCACAGCGGGTTAAACTGCCTGCTATAAAAGATCCTGCCGACTGGAAGATTGGCAGTTCAAGCCCGGATCAGGATGAGCTCCCGCTGTCAGCCCAGCTTCTGCTCACCTAGCCATTCAAAAACTACAATGTAAGTAGATAAATAGAGATTACTTTGGCGGGGGGGGGGGGGGGAGGATAAAAGCTGCCCTGAAAAATAACATGCCAGCAAAAATCCAACCAGGAAAGGCATCCATGGACAACAGGCCCCTCGGCATGGTAAAAGAAACAACTCATCCCCTTGCCCAAGTCGAGCACAGATAGATACCGAAGATGAAAAGAAGAAACCCTTGCCTTTGTTTGTGTACTGTCTCTTTGTCAATTGTATAACGGCACTGAATGTTTGCCATATATGTACCTGTAATCCGCTCTGAATTCCCTCAAGGAGATAGAGTGGAATAATTATAGTTTGTATTAAATGGAGATATTGTAGAATTCAATATTCAAATGCACTCTTACCATACCTTACCTTACCATGGAGTAATCTTCCTGAATACAGTGGGACTTATATTACTTCTGATGTTCTTAAACTGATTTGAAGCTGTGGACTTTGGGGCTTCAAGTATTTTTCTAAAAAAAACCCCAATAGTTCTCTAGAACTTTGTTTAGCAGTATTACAAGGAATCTCTTGATAAAAAATGGGAATGTTTGGTAACAGTCTTTTGTGTCTAGCACTGTGTTTTGTTAGTAGACTAAGCTATTTTGGGAATTGCTGGGCTTGTACACCACATTTAATCACTGTTTGAATAACACGCTAATTCCGTTTTGTTTATTATCTTAACAAAACCAACTTGATGTTTTCTCTCAGAAGTCACCAGTACTGGAATAATGCTTCTCTCCTTGAACAACTCTTTTTCGTTTCCTTGGATCACACAGTCATAAAGCTTTCAGCCTACAACATTGCAATAGATGCCTTTATTTATACTTCCTACCTATTTAAATGCACCCAGGGGACATCTCAGCTCTGTAATGAGCAGTTTGATCAGTAAAACAGCAAATACACCTTTATGAGATAATGCAACCAACTAAGCCACCTAGTAGCTCTGTTCTAAGGCTTTAGTCAATTGCATAATACTAATGAACTGTTCTATACATTTAACAGCTGATGGTTTGTCCTTTCTCTGCCTCTGAATACTGTTAAGTCATTCAAGCAGGGGACCAATTAATACTGCAAATACAGATCACTATTTTAAAAAGAAACTTCCATTTTATATGTGCTCACATGTGTGTATGTGTGTGTGTGTATAAAAAATAAAGTGCAAGCAAATGAATTATGCTTTCTTTTTAATAAAAAAAAAACCCAAGCTCAAACTTTCCTCATGTTTGTTTTAATTCTAGCTTTCTGGTTTTTGGAATACAACAAAGCTATCATTTCTGCATCAAAATTATAAAAATTAATTGTCTTGTAAGCAACTGTTGTCAAAATTGGGCAGCAGTGATACAAAGAAATGTGTGTGTCCGTGTATGTGGAGGGGTTGGGAGAGGCTACCCAAACTATGTGGCATGTCATGATTTGGACCAGTAAATCAGCAAGGGAAACACTCTGGGATGA